TCCATTGCTGCATATGCTTGCCTGCAATTGGCTGATCTGCAGGCAGGCTGCAATCCTCCTTAGTTTGGTGTCCCCAGGCTGCAATGCTGCCTGACAGTTAAAGGTAAGCTGACTTCCCACTGACTTTAATTAAGATCCTCAAATGATCACTCCTTCTTTTGGAGGGGGAAAGGAAAGACTCCCAAAGAATGGAAATAATTGGATGTGCTAGACCATTGTACCTAATTTCATTTTACCTATTCAGAGAAGAATAGTTGAACTTTAAATATGCATATTTAGGAGCCCTACTGGTAGAAAAGCATATTGTTGCATTTCTCTGTAAACCTTGGCACCAGTTTTATAAACAGAAGTGTTGCCTTTGGCACAAGGCAGATTTCACCAGCTACTCAGTAGTTACTACCGGGACTCGTATGATACAGGTGGGTCAATCAGCCTCAGGAGAATAGCAGGTGGTTCTCTCTCACCCACACATCCATAAATGTTGGCACCATTCATCAGGAAGAGAGCAATCTTGGCTGCAAATTACATAAATGTTGTTGCAACGACAGCCAATAAACCCAATAAAATGTCAATGACCTAGGAGTGAACAACTTAGTGGTTTTAGGGCATTAAGGCTACCTGCTGCATCAAATGATGACAAAATGCATCTTCCCTCATACGTATTATCTGATAATAAGGAGAATGCTGCATGATCATTGCTTCATACAAAGAAGCCCCGAAGCAGCTTATTGTGGCAATCATATCTGACATCTCAAGGCTCAGTAAAGGACCAGGGTGGGGGTGGGAGAGAGGCTCTGCTGTGTCCCAAACGCCCACACTCCTCCTGCATCAGCTATGTGGTTATATTACTGTCACACATCAGACAAAACTGAAATTGGTGGAGCATAAGGGCGCCTGTCTCTGCTGGATTATGGCCAGTGTCTCTTTCGCAGCCAAAATGTTGTTATCATTGATCGTTTCTAATCAGAGCCATAACTCATGCTTTATAATGAGAGACTTATTCTTTACATCTGTTTACTGGTTTATTGTCCAAGCAGAGGAAAGCCCTGTATAAAACTTCAAGGAACTCCTCTGTCTTGAGATGCAAGATCCAGATAACTGCAAAATATGTGTCACGTGGATACCCCTGGTGTGCAAGGTTTTTCTTTTACAAGCTGCTGCCACGGGGAGCCCTGAGCAGAATCGAGATCATGGTACTGGGGCGGAGGGAGCTTTGCCCTTGGTTCCCCATGCTATTATAATCCTGGTCAGAGTTGGTCCCTACAGCTGCTGTTCTCCATCGGAGCACAGCAGCTCTGGGAGCTTTGGCTGAAGACTAATGTTGCACTCCAGGGTCAACCACATTGAAAATGTCACATGTTATTTGGCCCTTAGTGTTTTATGGGGAGGGGCCACCACTCCACCTTGCATGTAGAAGGTCCCAAGCTCACTCTCTGCCATATAACAGAAACAAAAAAAGCATTTCAGGTAGCAAGGCTGGAGGAGACCATCACCTGACATCCTGCAAAACCAGAGCAGTCAAAAGAACAGACAATTCTGGGTTACCAGACTAATAGTCTGATTTATTCAAATAAACACAAAAGAGTTCCATGATTTTTCCCTCTGTAGTTTGTTTTCGTTTTGGCTATTATTTCAGAAGCCAATAAAAGACATGGAGCCAGATTCAACTACAGTGGTGCCTTGGTTCTCAAACGCCTTGGTACTCAAACAACTTGGAACCAAACACTGCAAACCCAGAAGTAAGTGTTCCGGTTTACGAACTTTTTTCGGAAGCCGAACATGCTCCGGTTTGAGTGCTGCACTTCCGTTTTGAGTGTTACACTGAGGTCTGTCTGTTTTTGCTATTTATTTTGCGTTTTTGCTCTCTCTTTTTTTGTGACTGTGTGGAAACCAGCTCATCTACTGATTGATTGATTGATTGATTGATTGTGTGACTGTAGTACATTGTTTAATGCTTTCATTTTATGGATCAATGGTCTCATTAGATAGTAAAATTCATGTTAAATTGCTGCTTTAGGGGTTGTTTTTAAAAGTCTGGAACGGATTAATCCATTTTGCATTACTTTCTATGGGAAAGCGTGCCTTGGTTTTGGAACTGACTTCTGGAACTGATTAAGTTTGAGAACCAAGGTACCACTGTACCTGGTTCTGTTAGCAGAAGCCAGCACAACATAGTTTTCCACCCCTCTGCCCATGCCTCTCCCCAATCCACTCTGGAAGGTTGGGAGAATCTCTAGAACAGCACATGGGGGAAGGCGAGTGAAGGGTCATTCCTTAGCACTATGTTGAATCTTCAGGAGGAGCGAGGAGGAAGTCCCAGTGCGCTGGTGGGAGTCCTTGTGCTGGCTTCCCTTTTCTTTTTGAGGGTGTTAGGGGAGAGGAAAGTTATTTTGCACCAGCGGAAGATGGTTGCAGGATGGAACGGCACTGTTGGATACAACCCTGTGACTCCACTTACCACATTATACAGCTTTGTACAATAAATATGCATAAGAAAGCTTCCGTTCTTATGAATGTATCCGAAGAACTATATCAGAGGTGACACAAAATGAAGTTTCAGAACTAAAGGAAGACTTAAGAAGTCATGGGGGCAGGATGCAGTACAATCCTAAGACTAACATCCCATTAAGTTCAATGGGGCTTATGCACATATAAATGTACTTTCGACTTAACAGTGCATGCTTTAAAAATAACAATAAGAGGGGCTTATTCATAAATAACTATTCATAGCACTGCAGCCAAAAAACTTGCAACTTGTAAACTGAGCCCCCTTATGAAACACGATTTGAGAAAGGAGGAAAAATATCTGGGGTTGTTGAATAACTTCTAGCTGTGTCAGTGTGCCAGTAGAAATAATTAAAGCTAGAATGCTAAATATAGAGAAGAACAAGGCTTGCTGATCAGGGATGAGCATGGTTTCTGCAAAAGGAAGTCTTGCTCCAAGAATGTTTAGAATACTTTTAAAATATCAATAAACATGTGTACAGCCATGATGTTTGGGTGCAAAGACTCAATTTTTTTGGGGCAAAGTTCCTTACTTAAATATTCTTTGGGAAACTACAGCCATAGGATGCAGATAGGCTTCTTTTTTCTTTTCTCCTTATGACAGTCTCACATTTTTATGGCCCTGGGTTGCAGTGCGAGTGTCGTTTCCCCTACATTCAAGGGAATTAAAGACTTCGTTTCACGGATTCATAAAGAGAACAGAAAACAGCTGTTACATCCCCCCATTTCTTGATTTGGGGAAACATTTGGATATGGCAGTACTGAATTCGGTTTTGTAAATGGAATAAACCAACAAAAATGTTTTGATTCCTCCCCGGCTGCCTGAAATGTGTCTCTATGAAGGGCATGGGGAGGGAAGAGGAAGGGAAAGGGTAAAGGATAACAATTGTCTTAACAGAAAGAGTTGGGGTGGTGGGGCGGGGAGGGGGGGTTGGAAAAGGCTGCTGAGCTTTTGCTTTCCAATCCTGAAAGAATAGTCCTATTACTCTCCCCAAACCTCAGCCCCCTCCCATTCTCTCACCCCCTCCCTGGAGAAGAATTGGTCACTGCACAGCTGTGCAAGAGAGAAAAATATATTTATATATATAAGAGAATCTGCCATTCTGAATTGGTTTGTGGGGCTGGACAAAACCTCATTGTGTGCTTTATCTGCCCAGAAGAGAATGGGCCCACAGTCTTTGCCTGGCAGGGCCTCTGCCTTTGGTTAACTGTGGTCAGATAACTGTAACTTCATTTAGATACTGTAATGTGTGTGTGTGTGTGTGTTTGAGGCATTATATTATTGATTGTGAGCACATCTGGAGAAAAACAGAAATATTAATCCTCTCCCGGCCTGTTCAGAAGAAAAAAGGGAGAAAGTTTAGAGATTTTGCAAACCCAAGTTAAAAATTAAAGTCTGTAGCAATTTCCCCCCTCTTCCTTCCTTTCTTTTTTGGGGGAAATATATATCTGAATAGATTTGACTGACAAAGATGCACCATTAGGGAGATGTCTCTGAAAAAAACTTGGACCCAGTGCTAATTGCATTGATTCTAAACCTATTTACTCGGAAGTTACTTGCAGGGAGTTTACTGGGACTTACTTTCTACCATAGCAAGCACGCTTGCATAACATCTATGCAGAAGTGAGTCACCAGATCCAGCAAGGCTTATCTGAAACAGAAGGTAGAACGTTCAGCAATGAACACAATAAGACGTTTTGAAATCATTTTTGTTTTCATTGTTTTGTCTTTTACCTGTATTTCCACACATGCTATTTGCATTTAGTAAATTAGAATTAGAATTTCCTCTATGGCAGTTGCATGAGACACACGATAAATGTCCTTTCTTTGAGTCATTTCTCTCAACGATGTAAACTTGATTTCAGGTTAGACTTGGATATAAAAGTTTGGGTGCCCTATTGGCTAAGTAAACCCTTTGCCACCATTGAACTGAGTACAGTATGGACTTTTACAGTATTACTCTGTGTTAAACGCATGTCAGTATAAGGTCGTTTTGCTTCCTATCTCAATATTTGTATTAGTAAAATAAAATTACTTCAGCAAGGCCCTTATACCATATTTTGGCTTGGATTCCAAGCCACCTTACCCTTGGAACACCCTCCTTTCAGATGTCAAAGAGATAAAGAACTATATAACTTTTAGAAGATATCTGAAGGCAGCCCTGGATTGGGAAGTTTATGATGTTTGATGTTTTGTTATGTTTAGATATATTCTGTAAGCCATCCAGACTGGCTGGGGAAACCCAGCCAGATGGGTGATGTATAAATAATAAAATTACTTTTATTACAGTATTATTATTATTATTATTATTATTATTATTATTATTATTATTATCACCATCATTATCATCTCATCAACACAGCACCATAGAAGGTGATAATCCCATTCTCCATGTTGAGTTTTGCGGTGTGCACATGCATTTCATGAGAATTTCTCTCCTGCCTACTTGAAGTGGCTTACAATATACGGAAAATATAATAAAACAGACAAGAGCTACAAAGAATGGTTGGAAGTATTTACAAGTTTCTACCCAGGCCTTAGTTATTTTCATTGCTACTCTGCTTCTGAATCTCTGAGTCACAACAGATCTCAGAGGAAACAACTGCGGTTCATAAATGGCTGTCAGAGCAGCCAGTTCTTTGCCTCTCACAGGCCAGGGCTTCTTCATGCAGGCTGTGGCTGCTTCTGTGTCTCTTGCAGCTTCTGGCTCTGGGAGCAGATTCAAGAAGCACTGGATGAGCAAAGATATGTTTTCAAAGACGTGTGCGCATATGACATGCACATGTGCTTGTACATAGTGGAGTGTCAGTGTTCAGCCCTGGCCAGACCTTAAACACCAGAGAAGTGGAGCAGGACCCTCCAGCAGATCACCATGCTGCCAATGACCACGAAGAACCAATGTTTCCAAATATCCCTGCTTGAGAGCTAGAGGTCCCTACAGCAGTTGCCTGGGTGACTGGTCAGCACTGTCTCTCTATGTCTCTGTTTCTCCCTGTCTCCAATTTCTCCAAGAGCGAGGAGTCAGAAAGTCAGGCAGAAGCTTCAGAGCTGTCTCCAAAGTACCTAGTTAGTAGCACATAAGACTACTTAGATGTCAGGGGAAGAACCCATAGAAGCACCTGCCCAGATGAGGGTCTGCCTGTTAGTCAAGGCTTGGTGAAGACTCCTAAATTCCTATTTTGAGCTGCTTTGTTGCTGAAGCAACAGCTCCTCACAAAGCTGCAGCTTTATTGAACTGAGGAAACAGACAGGGAAGCTCTTAGCTTCAGCAGAGTTTGTAGAGTATTTTTTGTCTCCATTTTGCTTGTTTGTTAAGTCACTGGTTTATGTCATTAACTTACATCAACTTGAAAAATCCAAGAAATAGGGAAGGAAAAGAAGTCAGATCTGAAAGAGAGGAAATGTAAACTTTTACAAACTTTTAAAACATCTATAGATTCATATAGTCATCGAGTTCTGACTTGAAATTGTCCAACAGTGGCAACAACAAAAAGGCTGCCTCATTCAAAATTAGTTTGTAGTTGTATCTGCAGGTCATTCCAAAGTATGGCTCATGGGCTGCAATAGTTGGCTTCACACCCTGAAAAACTATTTTGCACCTGGCTGTGGTTGATGGACCTTGGGGTTTTGATGTCTGCCTATATACCGTACACCTTCTTGTGGCTTAGATGCCATGGCTGGTTTGAAGAAGAAGAAGTTCAGTAACAGACAGAAGTGAAGAGCGCCTGTCAGTCTTCTCTTCTCCAACCTCCTTCAACCGTTCCTCATAAGGCTTGATTTCCAGATCTTCTTGGTCACCCTCCTCTGCACATGTTCCAGCCTGTCAATATGCTTCTTAAATTGTGGTGCCCCGAACTGGAGATACAATAGCCATCTTCAAATATCTAAAGGGCTGTCACACGGGAAATGGAGCAAGCTCTGGAGGGTAGGAACGGAACCAATGGATTCAAGTTACAAGAACAGAGATTCCTACTAAAATCAGGAAGAGCTTTCTGACAGTAAGAACTATTTAACAGTGCAACAAACTCTCTTGCAAGGTGGTGGACTCTCATTCACTGGAGATTTTTAAGCAAAGGTTGGATAGCCATCTGTCAGGGATGATTTAGTCTCTTCCAGGGTCTCTGTGATTCTATGTGAAGGTGAGTCAAAACAAGAATCCTGTAAGTTGACCCCCTCGTCCTGAAAAAGAGCTCTCCATTCCGCCCCCCCCCAAAAAAAAATTCTGGTGGTGAAATGATCACATGAACAAGGGTGAAAATGTTCCCTTCCTTTAAAGTGACAGCCACCAGTGTAAAATATAGTTTATTGCCATAAGGGGACGGATTATATTGTTGTGCTGATGTGAAAAAAATCCCTTTCACCTTCAGTGGGCAATGAATCAGATGGGCGGGGAAAGAGGAATGTGGTGTGGGTTTTCTGGAGATACAAACTGTCCTTAAAATTCTGAAGGTCATCAGCCTTCAGACACTAGCCATGTATTAAGATTTGAAGGAGGAACTGAAGGGGGTTGTGGGAGGCAGATCTTTACTTGCATCTATGTAACAGAAAGTGCTCTGAGCTATTATTAGGTACCGCAATTGCTGTACCAAACTGACATCTCATGCTAGTGCAGCAATTCATAGCCAGACTGGACATTGGTTGAGTAACATGCCATTGTTTCTACTTATCAGAGCTGGAGGAAAGTAAAATATGCACGTGTACCTGCCTACAATGTTGCTCAAATTCATTTTAATCTTTAGCTAATTTTTTATTAGCACAGGATCTCACTGATTAGAACCTCTAAAATGTAACTTCTGAAGAAATAATCGGCTGTAACCTGTGGATGTGAATACAGCCACATGTATGTTTAATTAGAGAAAATCTCACTTTGTTCCATGTAAGAGGGCACAGAAATGCAGAACCAGACTTAAAAGGCTGCAATCCTAAACTCACTTAGTGGTGCTCTCTGGATGTTGGAGAGTGCCTCCCTCCAAAGTTCAGGGGTGATGGGAACTGTAGTCCAGGAACGTCTGCAGAACACCAATTTGGCTCCCTCTGTACCAGGAAATCAGTCCCATTACCCTTCATAGGTCTTACTTTCAGGTAAATATAATGTGTACATTTACCTGAGAGTAAATGTGCACTGCCTGCAAGACAACTACTCCAATATAATTCATTAAATTCCTAAAATAATACATGAAATTTATCAAGTTCTAAGGAAGCTTTTGAGGGACGTGGGTGGCGCTGTGGGTAAAACCTCAGTGCCTAGGACTTGCCGATCGCCTGGTCGGCGGTTCGAATCCCCGCGGCGGGGTGCGCTCCCGTCGCTCGGTCCCAGCGCCTGCCAACCTAGCAGTTCGAAAGCACCCCCGGGTGCAAGTAGATAAATAGGGACCGCTCACCAGCGGGAAGGTAAACGGCGTTCCGTGTGCTGCGCTGGCTCACCAGATGCAGCTTGTCACGCTGGCCACGTGACCCGGAAGTGTCTGCGGACAGCGCTGGCTCCCGGCCTATAGAGTGAGATGAGCGCACAACCCTAGAGTCTGGCAAGACTGGCCCGTACGGGCAGGGGTACCTTTACCTTTAAGGAAGCTTTTATTTGAAATCCTATGCCTGGAGGGTAAATTATTTCTAGTATTTGGCACTCACTTCCAAGTACAAGAGGGACGCGGGTGGCGCTGTGGGTAAAACCTCAGTGCCTAGGACTTGCTGATCGCATGGTCGGCGGTTCAAATCCCTGCGGCGGGGTGAGCTCCCGTCTTTTGGTCCCAGCTCCTGCCCACCTAGCATTTCGAAAGCACCTCTAAATGCAAGTAGATAAATAGGTACCGCTTTATAGCGGGAAGGTAAACGGCGTTTCCGTGTGCTGCGTTGGTGCTGGCTCGCCAGAGCAGCTTCGTCACGCTGGCCACGTGACCCGGAAGTGTCTCCGGACAGCGCTGGCCCCCGGCCTCTTAAGTGAGATGGACGCACAACCCTAGAGTCGGACACGACTGGCCCATACGGGCAGGGGTACCTTTACCTTTACCTTTACCAAGTACTGTATTACCTTTCTAAGGTCCCCACAAACTATTTTACAAGTGTATGTGAAAACTAAAGGTAACTTATGAATGCTCCAAACCCAGGTTTGCTAAATCATACCCTCTGGGAGGCTGGGTTTCGTGGTGGCTCTCTTTACAAGCTGAGTAGCAAATACAGATATGCCAGTGTGAGTGACCCTAAACTGTAACTCTTCTTTATTGTCTGCCTTCTGCTCACCCTGTTTGATTGGGCCAGTTGCTTGTTTGCTCTGTGTGTGTGTTGTGGCCATGTTGATTCTCCAAGGCAGCTTTCAATACCATCAACCATAAGGGTACGAATGCTAGAAGTGTGAATGTGGGCAGGATGACCCATAAGACCCTCCTCCCCATGCTGTTCATGGACAAAGGTCTCCCTCACTATGACAGCTGTGCAAGATTCAATTTATATCCTGCCTCTCTCCTGAGGCGGCTTACAACATTTTAAAAACATCATTACAAAATATAAAGTAATAAAAACAAACTAGCTTCCTGAAGTATAAAGATAGTACAAAAAAGAGTGGTAGATAAAATTGATGAACTATGTTGAGATGGCAAAACTGACAGGAAGAATCAGAAACCAGGAAGGTCTTTAATAAAGAAGAAGGAAAGTTTATAATTTATTTGAAAAACTACTGCAAACAATTACATACATTGGTAGGATTGACAGAAAACTTGTAGCAAAAATTTGAACTATGGAATGACAAAGGATTTATAAGAATAGTTATGAAAGAGATACCGAGGGGAAAATCATTATATTAAGATCCACAATGGGGTGGGGGGGAGTCAAAGGGGATTATATGTTTGCTTATGTGAAATAAAAAATGCAAAAAAAAAAACCTAGCTAAAAACAGTAGTTAGAATACAATAAAACACATTTAGAAAGAGCATTATGATACCCATCGGAGAGAGGAACCTCAAGTGCAGGGTGGCTAAATGTGGCCCTCGGGTCCTATCTGGCCCTTGGAATGCTCTCCAGACCACAGCCTGCCCTGGCCCTACTTCACACCCTCTTTGAATGTTTTTGCCTGGATGGAATGTGTCCTTCAATAATGTCTCTTGTTTGAATGGAGGATAGAAAAGAATGTGCAAGATTGTGTGGAAACTATCGCTTACTGTACAAAGTTAAAATTTACATTAGTTGCTCTATGCACTCTTGCTTCTAGCCTTCCCTGCCCACCAGACATACATATGTCCCCCAAAACAAATGTGGTCCTTGCGCGGGCAAAGGTTTCCCTCCCCAGGATTAAATGTTAGGGCAGTTACATGCATACATTTTTGACTCAGAGCTACACCTTATATTCAAAGCACATCCTGACACACATTAAGAGCATATGACTCCCCCCCCCAAAAAAAAACCAATCTTGGGAACTGTAGTTTGTTAAGGGTACTGGGTGCGAAGGAAAGAGTTCCCAGAACTCTTTGGGGGAAGTCGTGTGCATTGAATGCACTTTAAATGTCTGAACTGAATGATCCCTCTCTCAGATATCCACGTGTGTTCCTTACACAAAAATGTGGCAATCTAGACCTGCCGCTTTCCGGGCCACTTTTGCCTATTCCTCTGAGCGGCGCCCCGGACCTAATCGTACCCTTGGCGGGAGGGGGGGTGGCGCCACGGGGCAAGGCTTTAAGGCGCTCCCATTTTGGAACTATATACCGAGGAACTATATATATCGAGGAATAAAGAAGCCAATAAACAAACCTTCGGCGGGAGGGGGGGACCCCATGCCCACCGTAACCCTGCGGAGGCCCTCGCTGCTCGGCGCGCCCTCTAGCTTGGCCCCAGGCAACGCCAGCTCCGGCCGGCGGAGTTGCAGGAGCCCTGGAGGCGGCCGCGAGAGGAGCGGGAGGCGGAGGCGGCGGCGGCGGGGAGAAGGGGCGGAGGGCGTGAGGGGAGAGGCCGGGGCGTCCGCACAGAGCCAGAGCGCAGCAGCGGCAACAGCAGCAGCAGCAGCAGCAGCCCGCCGAAGTTGAGTGCCAAGCGGCGTGGAGAGGCCGGTGCGCGGCGGCCGCCGGGGAAGGCTACTGGGGGCGCGTCTCCCCGGGGGAAGCGCGCCGGCTCCCGAGCAGGAGGAAAGGGAGCAAGAGAGAGGGGCAGACTCACCTCAGCGCCAGCGGGTCAAGCGGGGCCACAGCCCGGGCAGCGCGGCCGACAGCAGGGTCACTTGCGGGGCGCGCGCTCCGTTCCGCTGCTCGGGGCGCCCTGGCCGGGGGGATGCCCCCCTGCGGGCTCGGAGACTAGCCCGGCCGCTTGGTGCATGGCACAGCTATGGAGGTGGTGGACGAGAAGGAGGCTCTGCGGCGCTTCTTCGAAGGTAGGTGAGCGCCAAGGCGGCGCACGCGGCGCGACGGGACGCCGAGCTCGACGCCCGCGCCGTTCCTCGTTCCCCCTCGAGCGGCGTTGTTTGTTCGGAGGTCCGCCGCGAGAGCTGCCCCGACGGCGCCGCGTGCCCGCCGGCGGCCCCCCTCAGCGCGACGCGCGTCGGGCGGCAAAGTTTTGTGAGCGAAAGGGTGCGGGGACTTCTCTGAACTGCAGGAAGTTTTGACGAAGGGGCTGTTGTTTTAAAAAGGGTTTCAAAAGTTGTGACGCCACAAACTTCCCTCCAAAGACCGAGGGCTTCCCGTCGTGGCTCTCCGAATGAGGGATCCGGGTACCGATTCTGCCCCCAGGCCAAAGAGTTGTTGCCCTAAAGTTATTTTCTCTTTCTCAAAACACACGTATAAAGTTCACTTTTCTCTCTCACTCAGAAAGGTACTTGTTCAAAACTGAGAGTAAGAATCCTGTGGTGATCATTGACAGTAATAAAGAGATAGATGGATGGAGAAGAATCCATGAAGGAAACTATATCTCATGTTGCAAGTACCTTTTAGAGCTGATCTTGTAAATGCTCCTGTTTGCAGGTGTGCAGGTGTCCTGGGAGCCTTACGGAAATGGGTTGAGGACTAGGTGAATTGGACACATATTGAAGCTTTCACAAAAGCAGTTCACAAAAGGGGGGGAGATCGTTGCCAAATTGTGTGATAAATTCCAGAGAGGCACATGTGTCATAAGCAGTTGTGTGAATTGTCCTCAGTCGTTGCCTCTCAGACAAAGAGGTCTTCCAGACATAAGCCAATGAGATGCCCAACTTCTTCTAGTTCAAGGCCTTGTTCATTGCTCTGCCTTCATTACCTTTCCACAGGGGCGTAGCCATGTTAGTTTCTTGTAGCAAAAGCAATCCAAGAGTCATATTGTAACTTAATATTCACCGTCCCACCATGTATTCGTAACATCCCGTATTGTGTCTTTGTCACGAATTTTAATTGTTAGCAGCTGTTTGGAGTACCAGTCTTAGCAGAAGAGCAATTTATAAAAATAAATGTCAGCCACCAGTACAAAGCAGGGTACTGGTGCCTTTTCCTGCCAACTGCCACAGGTGAAATATCAGCATGAACCTATTCGCCATTGTGTACATGGGAGTACATGCATCAGACATATTTGTCTCCACTTTTTATTTGTCTACACTTGAAAGGTGTATTCCTAATATATATATTTTAAAGATATGTGAGGGCCAAACTGCATGTTACATGAGAGGGGGTCATGTGTTTAGATCGTCTGGGTTTCCCCCCATTTTTATAATGCACCTGGGAACTTCTAAATTGATTGGATTTGTGATCTCTGATTAGAAAATGGGATGTTTGACCCTTTCCTTGTTATGGTTTCACAAAATAAGTCCCACCCAACCCCCCCTCCCTCCCTGAAGCTGCTATTAGTCCCCACAGGAGAAAAGTGTGTTATCATTGTTGCTGCTCTGAAAAGCCAACAGCAGCCTGCAGAGTTAACCATTTAGTAAAATGTTAAAGTCTTGAACTTGAGCATTGGTTTTTTATAAGGGAGCATAATGCCTGTTGTCTTTGGGAATCCTTTCCCAGTTTTTCTCTCTCCTCTTTGTGTATCCCCAACATCACTTCCCTTATTTCTACATTTGTGTTCTGTGTTTCCTATTTTCAGTCCTGTATCCTTCTCTTTTCTATAGTTTCCCCAATCCTGTGATTTTTCTTGCTTTTCTTCCTCTATAACCTTTCCACACACCTTTTTATTTGTGGTTCCAGAGTAACTGGCGAAACTGCCTTATTTTTTACTAATGATGTTCCCTTTGCACATCCCCAGATGTGCTGAAATTCTGCGCTTCAGATCTAACCACCTTTACCTATTGCACATAGGGATATTATGCTACACAATTAATTATTAAGACATGCCCAGTACACTTCTGTTGTTGACAGGCTGAATGGCAGTATAATCTTCCACGGACTTAAGGGTCAGTTTAATACATTGATCAAGCCTGGGATTTGACATCACTTTGTACTCTTCCTTGCTTCCGAGAGTTAAGCACACTAATGATGTTGCCAACGTCCTCACATGCTGTGATGTGGCAGATTAACCTGAATGCAGGTTTATGTAGAAGTGGTAGAGTACAGTAACAAAGCTGTCTGTGGAAGCATGTAGAGCAGACCTTACGGGTCCACAAACCCTAAACATGTGCTTAAGTCATAGCTGCCCTTCACCAGATGACCTGTGTGTAATTGTGAACTGACGTAGCCTAGTGGCTAAGAGTGCAATCTAATAAAGCCCCAAGTTCAAATCTCCATTTTGCCCACAGACTCACTGGGTGGCCTTAGCCATGCCTTTTATTCTCTCATCCACAGCCTCCCGTCTTCACATAGGGATGATAATACTGGCTTGCTGTACAGGTCTCTTGTAAACATTGCTTAAGATAAAGTGTTGTGTGACTTTCTCTCGACCCTTGCAGTTTGGTGCAGTATATAAATACAATTATATAATGAAGATTCAGCCTCAAATGAAAAAGAAGTTTCACGTTTATGAACAATTTTTGCAACAATTCTTATTTTGAGTCCCCTCCTTAAGCTTGTGTGGTTTGGAAGGACTCGAGGCTGAAACAAAACCCCATCAGTGCAAGATGGCTTAATACCAGTAATTAAAAATGAACGTAGTCTGTATCCTCTTCCATCTTCTGTTTCCCACCATGAAGCCTCCTTTTGCCTGAAATGCTTTAACATGTGAGTAGTGAAGAGTTGTCGAATTGATCTTTATTAAATGACAGACTGACATGCAACAGACTAACAAGGCTAACCCTCTGGAATTTATTAAAAGGGACTGTTTTTATGTCCACTTAGCTAGATCGGCAGTATGTAGCTGTGTTTTTAGTTTGTCTAATGCTTAGGCACACTTCATAGTATCGGCTCTTCCTGACTCTTGTTTTTGTGCCTATTCAGCCTAGCAGTAATAGTACCTAATTTTGAAAGGGGCTACAACAGGGGTCAGCAACCTTTTTCAGCCATGGGCCAGTCCACCACCCCTCAGATCATGAGGTGGGCTGGACTATATTTTTTTGGGGGGGAGGGGGAATGAATGAATTCCTATGCCCCACAAATAACCCAGAGATGCATTTTAAATAAAAGGTCACATTCTACTCATGTAAAAACACGCTGATTCCCGGACCGTCCGCGGGCCGGATTGAGAAGGCGCTTGGGCCGCATCCGGCCCACAGGCCTTAGGTTGCCTACCCGTGGGCTACAGCTTTGTGCCAGGGAGACATTTAGCAGATATTGCTTGCCCAACAAAGAAAATGGGGGTGGGTTGTGTGGAAATCCTTAAAGTAGTATTTGATGGAGAACTTTATCAGGTGAAGCTTTTTGCCTGAAATGCAAATGTTTCTAAACATTCAGACTCAAATTTTGGCAGCCTTGCCTCAGCCGAACTGTCTTACAGTGCAATCCTCTACCTGCCTGCTCTGAAGTAAGTCTCATTGAGTTCCATAGGACTTACTCCCAGGTGACTGGGTATAGGATTGGAGACTTCATGTTTTGATTAGTTCCTTTTATCCACTTGCTTTCAGAGACTGTGACTGTCAGTTACATCTTCCTGATTCTACTTTCTAGGGAAATGAAATTTGACAAAAGCTCCTCTACTATATTTCTCCTCCAGTCTTGCTGATGATTGAGCTTTTGACAAGTAGGACACTTTTTAGTCCCTGCAAGTTGTGTAATTTCCCTTTTTGAGTGTGTAAATTTCATAAAGGTTTGGAGGATGGTTTCTTTATTTCCTATGCATTGTATTTACATTCGATTTGAACAGAGTCTGTAGCTATACAATAGGTGAAGATGTGAAGGAAATGCTTACCAAAAAAGGAACATCTTGTAGTCTAGGTAGGGAGCTCCTGATATGGATTGTTTGCCTTCTTTGCCTGCCTGTCTTGCTCTAATCTTCTCAGGTGGTTGATTTTCCAAAATCTTGATATCTTGAGTTAGTTCAGAATCCCTAAGAATGGTATTGGGAGTTCTGTAACATGCATTCAGACAAATGTATACTCCTTGTAGCTTGCGAGTTTGCTCACAAATGATGTTTGAATTGGGTTTTGCTTTTCCCTTATCTGTATTGCGAATATAAAGATTACTGTACATTGGCTAGAATGTACACTTCATTTAGAAATGGCTTCTCTTGCGTTTGACCTCACATGAACAACATCCACAAAAGCTTTTTTTGGTATGATTTCTGAATCCATTTTGAGTTGATCTGCAAGATAAAGTGTCGTTAATGATATATATTTGATGCCTAAAATGCAACTTTAAAATATCTCTAAAAGATGGGGAGCTTATATTGATTTGATTTAAGAATAGCACCGTGAGGTCAGACAAAAAAATGGTCAGTCTATGTCAGCCCAGCAGTTAATTCCCTGCCTCTCCTACTAATGTTAGCCAAGTCGAGATAGTTAAGATAGTTAAGAAAGATTTAAGAGGTATAGCGAGCATGCTCATTATCAGCTCTTTGGGCTTACATCTTCCCCTTGCCCATCACAGAAAGATTGTAAGCAGCCTTGGGGGTTTCACACACTCGCTTTCACTCTCTCATGCACTTCCTCAATGTGGGTAGAGGTAAAACACTCAAGCTAGAAGATTTTATGGCAGGGGAAGCTAATATGGTGTCCTTCAGATGTTGACAAATGCCGGGTCTCTTGATCTGAAAGCGAGATAAGTGCTGCAACCCCATAGTTGTCTTTGACTGGACTTAACCATCCGGGGTGGGGTGGGGTGGGGTTGGACTCACAACTCCATCAGTGCCAGTCAGCGTGGTCCATGGTCAGGGACAATGGGAGTTGTAGTCAGAAATGTCTGGAGGCAACCCCCCCCTCTTTCCTACTAA